CGAGCGCCTGTCGCGTAACTATTGTTATTATTATTATTATTATTATTATTATTATTATTATTATTATTATTATTATTATTATTATTATTATTATTATTATTATTATTATTATTATTATTATTATTATTATTATTATTATTATTATTATTATTATTATTATTATTATTATTATTATTATTATTATTATTATTATTATTATTATTATTATTATAATAATATATTGTGTCACTTTTATTAATTCGAAATCATATTATCATCTCAAACGAAAATAAAATTATGAATATGAATCTACTAAACAACATGCCGTTCTTAATTAAAAGTTAATCAATTGATAAAACCTATAAGAATGTTAGGAAAATAGGAATTGTAATAAATCCGATGTTTGTCAGTTTTCTAAGTTTTTATTTAACCAATTTATTTATATATGTTTACTATAACTATTTGTCCCAGTATTTCCTTTTCAACAATGGGGGTGTAGCTCATATGGTAGAGCGCTCGCTTCGCATGCGAGAGGCACAGGGTTTGATTCCCCGCACCTCCAATAATAATTAGAAACAATCAGTCTTGAAAAAGAATAGTTAACTTGTGAATTATTTTTATAAATTAAAACTGGATATCAAAATTTTATGATGTTATTACTTATTATTACACATGGACCTTCAATAACTTATATTATTAGGTGTTAGTACCAGGCACTTAACTGTTGAAATTTAGCTGTTTCATATTTTTTGATGAAATCACAAATGTTGTCCGTACCTTTCTCGTGACGGAGGGTGTAGCTGACTTTTTTGTTGTTTTTTTTGTTGTAGACTTCGCAGTGCCTGGTGTTGGAGTCAAAACCTACAGTTTGATCGTGATGCCAACCAAGTGAACGTAATATCAATCAAATTGTAAGCGCAATTAGTCTTACAAAAATTTACCTGTGGAGAAGAACCATAATTCAAGTCATCAATATATTCAAATTCGGATTTTGATCGGCGAGTTGATTTATCCCAAACGACTTTCTTTCCCGGACGACCTCTAGTAATAACCTTTTCTTTTGGTTCCTTAAGAGAAGTTGTCCCGGGGCTATAAACTTCTCGCATCTGACGAAGCATTTGACGTCTTTCTGTTGAATTCTTCGTCAAAAATACTTTATGAAATGATGCTAAATCATCAGTATCATCCACATACTCTTCTTCGTTTGCACCTTCACGTGGCTCCATACTCAAGTGTTTCCAATGTCTGTCGATGCATTGAAGTGGAATGGGAATGCACTTCATATTAATCTCATGGATGTCATGTGCACACGGTAATCCGCGAGTTGTTTGGAGATTGCAACTGCAAGGCACTTCAACTTGAGCGAACAACTCACGTGATTTGTCCACCTCAATTTTGATCAACTCAAGGGCGTGCATCGACACAAAACCTAAAAGTTCACTGTAAAGCCCTATCTTGAAGCCGTGTTGGTATGTATTTCTGCTAATCTCAAAGGAAGCCTTGATTTTAATTTGTTGCAACATCAAGACGTTGTCAATATGGTTGAACAAAGTAACGAAGTTCCCAAATGAATTCATCATATTTTTCTTAATCTTTGAATGTGCACACTCCACCCTATCATATATTACAAGATGTGTAAATATATTATGAGTTAATATATAATAAAAACGTGTATGTCAAGTCATATAATAAAAATATTACCTGTTAGAAGTTATGTTCCGAGGTGCATACATTTGTCTGTCCATGCCGATACATTCCTCTGTTTGTACGGGTCCAACCACGAGTCAGCTACGTAAGATAGAGCCTTCGGAAAATCAACGAAGTTTCGTTTCATTAAATCCCATTCCACATAAAACAACTCCTCCGATTCTTGCTCAACAAGATTT